CTTGTCAATGTGAGGCCCGTTGTTGTTCTGTGTCAATGGTAATTCGGGATATGCGTCGAGAGTATTGAGGACCTCGGCATGCGATTGCAGCGAGATCAGCACCGCCTCAGCGGAGGTGACGCAGCCTGAACAGGCAAGACAGTCGGTCAACGATATCTGTGCTGGGGGCAGGTTTTCAGGTTGAACTTTATCTTCCGTGGTCACTTCGTATGGGTTCTATAGGTTAAAGAAGTCAGTGTCCATCGGCTTTGAAGGTGAGGGGACCGGTATTAAGAATATCGAACATACCTGTGAATCTGATGACTCATTCTTCGGAAGCGTCTCTACCGGTTTGATACAGGCAACACCGGGAGAGATGAAATCGTTCAAGTCGTCTGCCGATAAAATGGCACTCATTGTGGCGCACGCCGCAGAAGCCCCGCCTGAGGATTATCAAGGGAAGAGATAACGCCACACGAAGGAGTGCTGGGATAGGGTTTTTAGTGCTGTTCTTAAGACTCAGGTTTAATGTATCTAGATTGGAGTCAAAAGGATGGACCGCGACCAGTCGTAACTTGAGTCAAGAGAGAGGAGGGGAAGAAAAGTAGATCTATAGATTGGAGAAGATTGAGAGGAGAAATATATCGTTAGTCATGAATTAACCGTGAGATAGCAGCGCTTTGTCATCGGTTGTGGCGAATCCCAGGCCACGGATTAGAAGCGCACCCGCCGATCGGTGCTGATAAGATCACCGCCTACCCGCTTCCGCCTGGTTGCCCTCGTATAATGTATTTTGCCGATCGTTCGTGTTGACAGTGACTCAGGTACAAGAGTCACGGTATCGAGGCTGAGATGTATAAGAGGATCTTCTTCTCACTCAAAGGTGTCATTAGAAATATTCCTTTGAAATTCCATCTACTTGAAATTGGCCGAAGTAGTAATTCATATTTGTCCTGTTTACGTATCTACTATCGACCCCACTACGAACATGTCCAGCTCCAAGCCTCCACAGAACTCCACCGGCTCGAATAGGAGAGCTCTCTTGAGTTCGACTGCAAAGGAAACCAAGGCACTCCTCCCTCAGATCTTAGCTGTGCTTCCCCATGCTCCTCCTACTGGGATTCGTTGCTCACGTGATACGATACCGGTGTTGGACTTCAAGTATAGTCCAAATCTCAACACCCAAGTGGAAGTTGTGAATGGCGACGCTTTCAATATAGCTATCAGCCTCACCAATCCCACGGATACCAGAAGCGTCTGCGTACTGAATCTGGCTAGCGATAAGAGTGCAGGTGGTGGTTGGCTTCGGGGAGCCTTGGCCCAGGAGGAAGAGCTTTGTTATCGTAGTAGTCTTAGTTTTACGCTTAAGCTACGATACTACCCTTTACGAAATCACGATGCTATCTACTCTCCAACCGTTGTTGTGTTTCGTGAGAATTTCACAGATGGACACAGATTAATGGATCTACAAAGGCCCGAGTCTCTACCCATTGTCAGCGTGGTCAGTATGGCCGCATTGAGGAGGCCGGACGTAATCCGGAACACAAAGCCTCCACGGTACAAACACATCGCGGATCGCGCGGTGACAAAGGACAAAATGCGTGTGATTCTCCGTATTGCAGCTTACAACAAGCATCGGAAACTTGTTCTAGGTGCCTTTGGCTGTGGTGCTTTCGATAACCCAAAGGAAGAGGTTGCGAACTGTTGGGCAGAGGTTTTGCAGGAACCGGAGTTTCAAGGATGGTGGGAGAGCATAGTGTTTGCGGTTCTGGAAAACACAGGTGACCTCGCCACAAGCAAGGGGAATTTCAATGTCTTCCACAGCAGGTTGCATGGGATGAGAGTATAGTCAATGTAATAATAGAAAATGCAGTGCTCCACTAAGGCATGGCTCATGAAGCAGTAGGTCAATGCTTCGTGAGCGGTTTAGATAGACATGGTTCAATTATTGAAGACTCGAGAGATTGAAAGGGCGAAGCAGTATCCCAGAACTCATTTATTGAGCCGAGCGGAACGCCTTCTCCCCGTAGACGGTGTGCCGTCTACTTCAGGTTTCTTCTCGTCATCGGCTTCCTTGATCGGCTGGGCTCCTTTCTTAGATCCTGCTTTCTTCGCCTTTGGCTCTTCCTCGCTTGCCTCTGCATCACTTTCAACCTTAGGCACTATTTCTCGCTTCCGTTTATTCTGCGTATCGCCATCCTCTATCTTGACGTCTTTCGCTACAGGACCGGTCTTTTTCTGGACACTTGGAACCACAGCACTTGTCCTACCACCGACAGTAAGGAAGGTAATTTTATCTCCATTCGGCAGAGTGGGAGAGGCATTTTTCTTCCCTTTCGACCATCGGTATTTGAACAGCCAGTCCTCTGGAAACTTGTCGGAATCTGCCAGCAAATCCACTGAGGTTGAGCAGACGTAATGAATGGCTGAGTGAAGTTCTTTGACTTGATCGTCAGTCAAGGTGTTGCTGTATTGCTCTGGGTGAATTCTTGCATGGTAGAGAATCTCATCTCTATGTAATAGTCAGTACCCATCCCACCATCAATCAACGGCTAGTTGGTAACAAACCCCATCCAATTGCCAATCCCGCTTATGTTCGCTTGGTCCAAAAGTAAAGCCTTGACGGGGACCTTCTTGCTCCTTAGCTTGCCTGCCAACCAGCCTTCGGTCACCGTGTCCTTATCCGCTACAGGGTCTGGGCCATTCTCTTTGAGGGGGCTGAACTTTCGAATCTGCTCCGCAGGACAATCCACCAGTCTTATCCTGCCTAGCCTGCGGAAGTCAACAAAGGCAGCCTCTGTCTTTGGGTCCTCATCCGTTTCCAGCAAAAACTTCCAGTATTTGGGGGGCCATTCTTTGTCTTGTGGCTTGTCAGTCCGGTAGTAGTATGTGTCAGCATTCCGAATTTTCAGCCAGCCTGCCATGCCAAAATGCATTACGACATGCGGCGGCGACGCCATGGCTATCCAGAAGTATTTGCCTTGCTGTCCTGCACCAACGATCTTCTTTCCCTCCATTGCTTTCTGAAACTCCGAGGCACTCGTCCCTGCTTTACCATAGACAATGTCATCATTTTGCGTAGATACCTTAGCGAGAGTCTTGCCGACAAGATGCTGGCGTATGAAATGGACGATACGTGAGACTTCGGCTAGTTCAGGCATGATGTTGGTCCGGTAGATTGCACGATTGAATATCCACTCTCAACAAATCTTTATACAGATGAATATCTATCTGGATGGAATGCTAGCAAATATCGCTTTCTGATACAATTTAAGATACAATGCAAATGTTGAAGGGACGTTGAAGTCCTCTTACAATGCATGCAACGCGTCACGGGTCACGAAGTCCCGTGATCGAGAGCTATCGATAAGAATCTAGCCGTTTTGGGCAAATACCTTATGATTCCATTCCATCCAACACCAACGGCTCGTCTTGTCTGAGAGACTCTCCACTGCACGTAATCCTCGACAAAGAGCCAAGCGTCATTTATATTGGCCGAATCCCTCAGTTTTTGGTTGCATTATCCGGATAACAACCCTTGAGATCCTCACAGGAGTTCCAAATACCACACTATTACTCATCCGCCATCCCGCCACCTTGTCTACTGCTTTCGTGCACCCCTTCAACGTGGTACAATCTGGAGTGGTTTTGGACTGAGAAGGGCAGTTCGGGACGGGAGTCTACAAAGGCCGAGCATCCAAAAATGACTCGGGCAACGTCAACATCGGCTCCCGAACTGAGCCCCCAATTTTGCTTCAATGAGAAATTGCTCCGAGGTATGCCTTAGCGCCAACGACCATCTAACCATGACAATGGAATCTCAAGCTTATCAACCACTTCCCCGCTTTATAGATTTCCTACGTCTATCCAGATCGACAATAGACGATTCCATTACCCAGAACCTCAATGCTCTGTTCACCCCATCGCGGGAGGGCTTCGATCCTTCTTCGACTGCTGTGCGTCAAACGGATTCTGAAGTGGGGCGTACAATAGACCCTGCTGCATGTCAGAACTTCAAAGACAACGTTCTATTCCCCTCATGGCAGACACGATCGGACGTGCTCAACTACTGCGCCGGCGTCGCTACAAGCCCCGACCCGGACGACCCGGATCTTGTTCTTCGGCAGACCGAATCTGCCAAGGATCGAGAGCGAGTCGTCAATGAACGTCTAGATCCGTACTCCGGGCGATTTTTCCCTCGCGAGGCACGAACCGAGTCCTTAGCGAATCTTGTCCGGAATCAGCGTAATGTTGAGGAGATCATCCGTGCACGAACATGGGGTCTCGTGACCGAAAGATGCAATGGCTCATCGATAGGCTGGGAAGAAGCGCTCAATAGCTGGCGGGAAAGAAAGCAACGATGATCGCAGACAGGAAGAGCTGATACCAATAGCTTTTCCAACCTTGGGAGTAGCTATTTGGGAAGGTGACGAACTGTCGATATGTTTTTCGTCCGGCTTATACGGGCATCCAGTCATGATTCAAGATATAATGTATATACTCAATGTGTACACTAGTTGCATATATAAAGCGTTCCTTGATGAAATTATGAATACCCCAATGTGAAGCAGGCGTCGGCATAGAAAGCAGCGCAGTATATAAATACCAGGTCAATCGTTGTCTCACACACCCTTGACAAAATACTAGCCAGCATACGACAGGAATTTGCTGGCACTGATCGTTGGGCATAGATCCGAGTTTAGGGCTGTCGGGGTTCGATTTATGCACGCAAGCGTCCATCTCGGATAAATTATTATTTCGTCCATTTGCCGGTCTGTCCTCGAGAACCTGCGATCGGGAAGGAACATTGAGCTTGAATCGCAGTGGGCAAAACCCTTCTGGGCTGCAACAAGGACCAATTCAAAATTGGTTTGTCTGTTACTCCTTCTCTGTTGGTCATAGCTTATCATTGCCTAATCGCTCGTCGGTCCCGAAGGAACAATTAAATCACCCCCCGCGCACATCAGCTTCAGTCCGTCGACACACAAGTCAACCCACTTGCAGTCCCTCACCCACCCATCATGCCACAACCATTGAGTTCTAAGGACGCATCCTTGTTCCGCCAGGTGGTTCGCCACTATGAGAATAAACAACATAAGAAAGGTGAGTTCCTGTGCGGAATTGGAACCAGTGTCAGCCCACTAAAAGGTGCTTGTCCTCAACAGGTATCAAGACCGCGGAGCAAATTCTTCGGAAGAACCCCAACCATGGCGATACCCTAGCAATGAAGGCGTTGATTACCAGCAACCTTGGTCAGCAAGAAGAGGCCTTTGCGATGGCCAAGGAAGCTCTCAAGAATGACATGAAATCGCACATCTGTTGGCACGTTTACGGTCTGCTATATCGAGCGGAGAAGAACTACGAGGAGGCAATCAAGGCATACAGATTCGCATTGAGGATTGAACCGGAGTCTCAGCCTATCCAGCGTGACCTTGCCCTGCTTCAGATGCAAATGCGGGATTACCAGGGATATATCCAGAGCCGAACCACCATGCTCCAGGCCCGACCCGCTTTCCGCCAGAACTGGACGGCTTTGGCTATCGCACATCATTTGGCAGGAGATCTGGAAGAGGCGGAGAAGGTGTTAACGACGTATGAGGAGACCTTGAAGTCCACGCCACCAGTTTCCGACATGGAGCACTCGGAAGCCGTTCTGTACAAGAATTCGATTATGGCCGAGGCAGGCAAGCTCGAGCAGGCTTTAGAACACCTCGAAAACGTGGGTCACAGAATTACGGATGTGCTGGCCGTCATGGAGATGAAGGCGGACTACCTTCTGCGGCTTGACAGGAAGGCGGAGGCAGAGGTCGCGTACACTGCGCTTCTCGACCGCAATCCCGAGAACTCGATGTACTATGATGCTCTGATCAGAGCTAAGGGTATTGCCGACGATGACCACTCGGCTCTGAAGGCTGTATACGACTCTTGGGTGGAGAAGAACCCTCGTGGCGATGCTCCTCGTCGGATCCCACTGGACTTCTTGGAAGGTGAGGATTTCAAGCAAGCTGCTGATGCTTACTTGCAACGTATGCTCAAGAAGGGCGTTCCTTCTCTTTTTGCGAATATCAAATCCCTATACACCAACACTTGGAAACGTGACACAGTGCAGGAGTTGGTGGAAGGCTACGTTTCCGCACCTCAAACCAACGGTTCTGCGGAAGGCGAGGCGAACGGCGACAACAAGGATTTCCTCTCTTCCTCCCACTATTTCCTCGCGCAGCACTACAACTACCACCTCAGCCGCAATCTGACCAAGGCCATGGAGCATGTCGACAAGGCTATCGAGCTGTCTCCTAAGGCCGTAGAATACCAGATGACCAAGGCCAGGATCTGGAAGCACTATGGTAACATCGAGAAAGCGGCAGAGGAAATGGAGAAGGCTAGGCAGCTGGATGAGAAGGACCGTTATATCAACTCCAAGGCCGCCAAGTACCACCTTCGCAACAATGACAACGATAAGGCACTTGAAAACATGAGCAAATTTACTCGGAATGAGGCTGTCGGTGGTGCGATGGGCGATCTTCACGAGATGCAGTGTGTCTGGTATCTGACCGAGGATGGCGAGTCTTATCTGCGCCAGAAGAAACTTGGGCTTGCACTCAAGCGCTTCCATGGAATCTACAATATCTTCGACACTTGGCAAGAAGACCAGTTTGACTTCCATAGCTTCTCATTGAGGAAGGGCATGGTCAGGGCATATGTTGACATGGTCCGCTGGGAGGATCGCTTGCGTCAACATCCCTTCTACACTCGGGCGGCTCTTTCTGCCATTAGGGCATACCTACTTCTCCACGACCAACCAGACCTCGCTCATGGGCCCTTGCCCAACGGTGCCGAGGGTGACGCTGACAGCGCTGAGCGTAAGAAGGCTCTCAAGAAGGCCAAGAAGGAGCAAGAGCGACTGGAGAAGATTGAGGCCGACAAGAGAGCGGCAAGGAAAGCAGCAAGCACCAAGGGCGGTGATGGTGAAGTGAAGAAGGAAGACCCCGACCCGCTTGGCAACAAGCTTGTCCAGACCCAGGAGCCACTCAAGGAGGCAACCAAGTTCCTGACTCCGCTCTTGGAGTCCAGCCCCAAGAGCATTGAGGCCCAGAATCTTGGATTCGAGGTCTATCTCAGGAGAGGTAAGAACACTACCCCACGCGATATCACAGTGACCTCAACTAACTTGATCTGCAGGTAAATATGCGCTCGCACTCAAATGCCTCTCGGCCGCCCATGCAATTGATGCTTCCAACCCAACCCTTCACATTCAGCTTCTCCGTTTCCGCAAGGCATTGGACGGTCTCTCTGAGCCACTGCCACCTCAGGTGGCTGAGGTTGTAAATGCCGAGTTTGAGACTCTGCTCCCGAGGCCCAGAGCCTCGACGAGTGGAATGACTCTTTCCTGTCGGCACACAAGGACAGCGCGCCCCACACACAAGCAGGCCTGACATGCCGGCAGCTACTGAAAGCAGACTCCAAGGCGCAGTGTGAGAAGGATCTCACCGCCACCCTTGACTCGCAAATTGATAGCATCGAGACCGCTCTTGCTGGCCTGCAATTGTTGGACGAGTGGAAAAGCGACCAGGCCGCAAAGGCCGCTTACGCTGAGAAGGCCAAGAGCAAGTGGCCTGAGTCGTCAGTATTCCAGCTGAACTAAGATGATGTCATGGAGAAGAGTACAATCAGTCTCTTCCAATACCTCACAACTGCGGGGAATATTTGCAGTTGATTTTCCAGACCCGAGTATAGAAATCAAGAGTTTTACGGCCTAAGAATGAGGGTGGAGTTACACTGCTATAACAATGAAGAAAAAAAGCCCAACTTTTCTGATATAAGATATCAAGCGATCGGAACACCCGGAGATGATGTACCAGTACTAGTATAGTTAAGATTTCACCAGTCGAACTGGGAGCTACCCAGCTAGTCTGTGAAAGGGTCAAAAGCAAACTTTCCCTTCATTTTCTTGTTTCTTTCTTGCTCACCCAGGTTGCGTAAATATATCCTGTATTGTATAGAGCGAGGATAGAGTCAATGTTAACTATTAGACCATTTCTCAACACCTGGGCATAGCGGAAAATATACAAAGAGGGAAGTTTGTCTGATACCGAACAACACATCGAATCCAGTATGTACGAGTAGAAATTTAATGCCGTAACTAGACTAATATACAGTATAGATTCATTTGTTGGTACAGTAGATGAGGTATATCCTATGTTCACCATCCCAACCAATGCTGGTGTATATAACCCAAACACACATATCTAGAGTTTCCGTTCCATAACCATGCGAGATATCAATTTGAGCTGGGCCGTGAATCACTGGTCGTCCTCTCCGTCAATGTTTCCAAGGATAGGCTTCCTCTTGAGGGTTTCCTCGTCCTCACCGTATCCGTACTTAATCCACATACGCTGCCAGAAAGGAACGGGCGTGGGCCGCTCCTGACCAAGGATGTATTCTGCGCCCTCGGCAATCCGTTGCGAGCGGGCTTCATCTTCGGGCGAAAGGACGTAGCGCTGCATTCGGGCTGCGATACGGGAATCCAGAACGACAGAGTCCACCCATTCGCGCTCCTTATCAGGGTTCGCCTCATCCTTCTTGTGCGCGGACTTGTGCCAGTCCTTTTCTTCCTCTTCGAGAAGCGTTTGTTGTTCGTAGTTTCCACCCATCAGGTTATCGGAGGCTGAAGCGGCGTCGATACCCGCTGGGGTTAGTTCGGAGTCTGTGCTGAATGAACCATCGTTGTATGGCCGGGTCGTCGAGGCGAGAACGATGCCAGCAACCTCTCGTCCGACGCTATCGGCGAGGTGGCGCTGGTTCAAGTATCGGTACATTCTGATAGGAGTGTTCAAGAATCCTAGAATGTGAGGGAAATGGATCGGAACGGAGCCGTCCAAGGACTGTGGGAGAGATCGTGGGAGGTTTTGTGACGAGTAGTCGGCGGGAGTGATGTATGCTGGGGTCGGGCCGGTAGGTTTCGGTTTCTCTTCCTTCTTCTCTTCCTTCTTCTCAGGCTCTTCTTTCTTCTCGGCGTTCTCTGCGGTAGGGGTGTCATCGGGAGAGCCACTGGTCTCTGCTCCCTCGGAAGGTGACGGCACATCTATCGAAACAGGCGGCTGGGGCGGGTCGAGTGGTCCAAGCCAGCCCTCATGGAGACCTCGGATATACTCTTTCCAAGTATTACGTCCGATGATCAAATCGCCCTTGGGAACTGGCTCCTCCACCACTCCCATCTTCTCCCTAGCCTCCGCAACGACCTCTTCAATGCCAGTTTCTTCCACCACAGAGCTTGACTCGCCGGACTTCCTTCTAGACTTGCGAATTCGCTCCGCAAGGCCAGCGCGGATGTCGCCTTCCCGCCGTCCTTCGATCACCTGGTAGTCCAAGGCCGCGGCGACTAGTATAGGCTTGACATATTCTTTGAAGTGTTCCCGGGCAACGCGAAGACCATCGCCAGGAGGGGCCGACAGAAAGACTGTAAGCTTCCGTCGCGTTTGATCAATTGGGAGAGGCTCCTTGGAAAGGTGCGCCACCAAGTCACACCACTTCTGTTGTGTACGCTTCTTCTGTTTGCGGTCATAGACCAGGGCAGCGGTGAAAGAGCCGGTTACTGTGAGAAAGATCATCCAATTGCGGGAAGGAAGTTTAAGGCGGAAGTTGGGCATCCCTTAGATAGAATGGTTAGTGCCAATTGATATGAGACACAGGACGTAGTCGGGGACTTACCCATCATTTTCCATACTGGGTTCGGTGCCTTCGTAGGCTTTGCCGCGGTCTGCGTCTGGCCAGAGGCCGCAGCGGAATTCGAAGATTCCGCCATGGTCTCCGAGAGTGGAGGGGGATTTGGCTGAATATGACACGGAGGAAATCAAATGGTGTTATTAAGTATGTGGTATATAACCAGATTGGCACGGTATGGTACTAGGGAGGGAGTATCCCTTCTTCTTGGATGCGTATCATAGTCCATTTGCCCAAAAAAAGTTCGGGATCTCTGCGCCGCTCCGTCATCCGGAACATGGTTAATCCGATGGAAGAAGGGTATTTTTTCTGCGCGGCATTCTAACGCACTAGTGGTACAGAGTATACACATGAGATATGTCTCGAACTTGTAGCTACTTCCCCAAGGTAGATCAATTCGTTCAGTTCCAAACCACCTTTTGGAACTCTGGTTGAGGGTTGAAGGGAATTATCATCGACAAGATGAGGTGCTTCCGTGGCCCACCTTTGAGAGATGGATACCCTAAGTTATGGAGTAATTACACAGTACTCCGTACTCCGTAGTTCATATTACTAAGGGGGGGGGATGGATGGACTAGTTAGTTTCTCCCCCAGAAGAAGCATTCATATGGATGGAACTCCGGGCAATAGAGTTGAGACGAAGATCTTCTATTTATAATTAACTCGGGTTGACTATTCCTCACGATCCAAGTCTATCTCTTTGAGGACATCGAAACAATAGAAGTATATGTGGCTGAGTCAGCCGGGGAGGACCAATCGGGGCGGTTTGTCAGGTGGGAATCGAAGTGGCGCCAAGCGAGTGAAGAGCCGGCCAAGGTGCCTGGCAGCCCCAGGCCAATAAAGCCAACCCCCCCTGTTCCGCACTCGTGGCACCAATGGTGTTCCGTAGGCGTGGAATGGCTAATGAACCCAAAAGTCCAGACTCCAGTAAAAAAGTTACAGACTTGGACTAGTCGGACAACAGGAGGAGCGACTGGCTCACGCTCCTGCTCCTGGTCTCACACCACGGGCGTTCACCTTCTCCCCAGTCTTTCCCCTTCTTTTAGATCTCTGTCTCTCTTTTCTTTGGTACCAACCCCTTCCTCAACTCATACGGCACAGAGAGTGAGAGACCGTAATACCCGTGTCTCTCTCCTTTGTCTGTCCGTGGAGTACGGAGTTGTCCACTCCACTAATTATCCGCCCCTCTTGATTACTTGTCGCACTCGACCTCCTGAGCCACCGCTCCTTTGGGCAATTCCCCTCCCCCTTGAAGGTCTTCACTTTTCACCTCAAACCGCCTCCTGTCCCATTTTTAAAGACCCCCTCATCCGGGACGGAGTGACCACCGGAGGGACTTTGTATAAAGATGGATCCCAATAATAACCGTCTCCACCTGAACTTCGGGTACAACGAGCGTGGTTTCAATGCGGCGGCCAACAACCGCGCATATCCCACAACTCCTTCCGCGTTCCCTCAGCCGATCTACCAAAACCAAGGCCCTCAGGATTACATGGATGCTCAAAACGGAGCCTACAACCAGGGATATTTCATGGCAAACCCATACCCTCCTCAGGCCGCCTACGCTCAGCAGCATTATGGGCAGTCAAACTTGCAGTCCCCGCAGCCCGCATATCAATCACGCATGGGGTACGGCGCCAACGATGGAACCAACGGCCTCATCCAGCAGTTCTCCAACCAGGACCTGAACTCGAACCGGACTGGCTTCTTCGGTCGCTCAGGCTCTCCGGCTCAGAGACCTCGTACCGCTGGCTCGTCCGCCCCGGGCCAGCAACAGCCTGGCCATCTAGCCCCGCCAATGCCGCGCAGCCCCCGTACTCCCGCCGAGAATGAAGAACTCCAACGCTACCCAGAGCGATACTCAGAGAATGTCCACAAACGTGGTAAGGCCGCTAAGGAGCTGGTGAATGTTTTCTTCCACGAGAACATTGAGCGTGCGCGCGATCGTAACATGCGGTAAGTCCCACATGAATGGTTGGAATGAAGGAACTTGAACTTGGTCAACTAATGTCCGTGTTGGAATAAACAGTTCTACGAACCTGGACAAGATGATCCAAGACCCGAGTATCTCCAAGGATGCCAAGCGTCAGGAGGGAGAAACTATTGCGAAGAAGGAGTCGAACTTCCTCCGATTCCTTCGGACCAAGGAGACGCCGTCGAACTTCCAGACTATTAAGGTTATTGGAAAGGGTGCATTTGGTGAGGTTAAGCTTGTGCAAAGGAAGACGGACGGCAAAATCTATGCGCTTAAGTCTTTAATCAAGACTGAAATGTTCAAGAAAGACCAGCTGGCCCACGTTCGCGCCGAGCGTGACATCTTGGCTGATTCCAAGGATAACCCTTGGCTTGTGAAGTTACACGCTTCGTTCCAGGACACCGCATACCTCTACCTTTTGATGGAGTTCTTACCTGGTGGTGACCTGATGACCATGCTGATCAAGTACGAAATCTTCTCCGAGGACATCACTAGATTCTACATGGCAGAGATTGTGATGGCTATCGAAGCAGTTCACAAACTAGGCTTCCTTCATCGGTACGTTGGTCGCTTGTCATATCACTTGTTCCATCGCTGTCCTACCAGCTGTTTTTCTTCTTTTACTTGTTTTTTTGTTTGACGCATTCATTTGTGCTCAAAATAATATACTGACAGCAACTCAATTACAGTGATATCAAACCTGACAATATTCTTCTCGACCGTGGTGGTCATGTTAAGCTTACCGATTTCGGTCTCTCGACTGGCGGCAAGAAGACTCATGACAATTCATACTATCAAAACTTGTTGAAGAATTCCACCTCCAAGGATAAGAACCGTAACTCGGGATACTTTAGTGATGCGATTAATCTCACGGTATCAAACCGTGGCCAAATTAACACATGGAGAAAGTCCCGTCGAGCCATGGCTTATTCAACGGTCGGCACGCCTGACTACATTGCGCCTGAAATTTTCAACGGTCAAGGATACACCTATCTCTGTGATTGGTGGTCAGTTGGTGCTATCATGTTTGAATGTCTTGTGGGATGGCCACCTTTCTGTGCTGAGGATACTACCGATACCTACAGGAAGATCGTGAACTGGAGGGAATGTCTCTATTTCCCTGAAGAGCTTACTCTTTCTCGCGAATCCGAGGGCTTAATCCGAAGGTATTTACCCCCGCCCATTCTTGGCACTATATTCACATGCATGGGCCTGACCATTTTATACAGCTTCCTTTGTGATGCAGAGCACCGTGTTGGCAATGACGGCGGCCAGTTCGGTGGTGCCACGCAGATCAAGAACCATCCGTTCTTCCGTGGTGTTGTTTGGGAGCAGCTTCGCAATATTCGCGCTCCCTTCGAACCTCGGCTGAGCTCGAATATCGACGTGTCCTACTTCCCCATTGACGAAATTCCTCAGGAAGATACCAGTGCTATCCATCGTGCTCAGGCCCGTGCCATGCCCGAGGAACAGGAGGCTGAAATGAGCCTTCCGTTCATCGGATACACATACAAGGCATTCAATGCCTTCCAGAATAACTGAGAATCGAACTGATACTCGGAATGATCGCTGTATGCAGGATGAGCGCCTCGGAAAGCCGGTCCGCGGGCAGGCTTGCGCGGGAGTCTTTCCGGCGGCTTATCTAGGATACATTCTCGACATATCTTTGTTCGTTTGATTTCATCTAGCGTCTAGCGCATTTGGCATTTCATGTCATTGATAACGACCTGTGCATCTTCCTTACTATATTTGCATGTCGCAAGACGACGCCCGCTAGTTGCACACTGTGTCTAGCCTTCAGAACTACAAACAAGTGCATGATTTGGTTGAAAGTTCAGAGCCTGTGACACCTACAAGTGCAGATCACGAATGACTGGCTACTTTTGTTACCTCTAGCTTGATGCATCAATGCATTTATCAGGAAAAATACCCAAAGTACAAAGTTGTACCTTTTCCATCTCAGTCTAGTTTGCATATAAAATAGTTGGTGGTAATCCCATGAAATACTTGAACTTGGTAATAGGCTTCAATCCTTGTAAATTTCCCGTGGCACTCAGTAATGTTCCAGGTTGATGTTTGTACCAGCTGAGACGGAGAAAGAGTTAGGTATAATAAAGGACACCATCGGAAGGCCTGCTCTCGGCCAAATTACAATAGCTGGGGTAACATGAATTTGAATCACATAAAGCTGCAGTAAAAAACAGATCCTCAAACGCCCTATGCACCTCCGTTGAATGGAAAGATAATTTCGTCAACTTTTCCTTCTCATGCAGACCCATACGTAACCACCACTTTAGGCAGCTCACTTGGGGTCCATCGGTGCCAGACCTGGGACACCGCTGAATCTTTCCTCTCGTTCAGTCTTGAACATGATCTGAACCCAGAATTCCTTGCTGTCTTCATCGAACCATGTCCAATAGCGACCCTCCCTACGGTCAATCTCCCGAGCCTGAAGCTTGAAACCACACGTCTGATATGGCTCCGCGGCTACGACAAGATACTGGAAGTTCTTGTCCGGGGGGTCCTCCACCTTCTGCTCAAAGGCCGACATGAACCGTACTCGGGGCTGAACACCTGGTGTGATTTCCTGATACTGCAGCTGAAACAGTAAACCTAGCTGTCGCGTCAATGGATCTCTGATCTTTGTGATCTTGTAGCCAGGCCGACCAATCTTGATGGTCTGCTTCTTAACCTGAACGCCCATCGCACCCGGCAGCGTCGATGGATCCTGATTCTTTCCTTCCCTTTGCTCCCTCGCAGCACGTCTAGCCAGGTTTGTCTGATGCTTGCGGCCTTGGGTATGGGCGAGGTAAGAGCCATCGTTCTGGTGAACCGTCAAACACAGACGACACTCGAAACTTCCGACATGGTTCTTAAAGAAGTACGGGTCCTTATCCAGGTCGATTGTCTCGAGGGCGAGCTTGCGAAGACGCTCGCGACGGTCGGCGTTGGTCGCGGATTGCGATGCGACACCACCGCCACCGAATTTGGATCCTGCACGATTCTTCAACGGCGTTAGCATACAAAACACACAGTAGATAGAGCAGCCATAAGAAGAGGGTATCGACTCACCTGGAAATCCATTATGATTTGCCTTTAAAAAAAACCTTGGGTATTCCTGATAGTAGCGGAGGAGAACAGCGCGGCGGGTGATAAGCTTCAAAGGGAAATTCCATGGAAATCTTATGTCAGCAGTCTTGCCGATTATCATTGGACGAGAGGGACTGTCTGTCCTAATTGACAGCCCATGAGCTTTAAGTCAACTATAGAATGTCTGTGGAATGCCTGCGAATAGGGTAATCTGCACAGAAGAGCTTATGATAATGGATTCAACAAGTTTTGTGTGCCAACGGCGATCCTATAATGGCGAATTGTGCACCGTCCGCTACGCGGGGAAAGTTGCAGGCACCACCGGCGAATGGTTAGGTGTGGAATGGGACGACCCAACACGGGGGAAGCACTCTGGAGAGCATGGAGGAGTGAGATATTTTACATGTACAGCATCTTTCTCTTATTCTTGACAATTAATCTGTTCTGGCAAATTTGTTCGCATCTTACTGCACTTGCTCATACTTATCATAGGCAAAAGAAAGCACCCCACTGGAGGGTCGTTTGTGCGCCCGTCTCGAGCTGCAGACCAGCCTAGAAGCTTCCTAGAGGCTCTGCGTGAGAAGTACGCATCTGAGTTTGAAGAGGAAGCCGCCAGGAGAAAGCTTGGTGGTGCTGTCTCCGGCGATGCTCTACACAAACCGATTGAAATCAGCGGCAAGGTTGTAGAAGAAGTTGGTTTCGACAAAATCCGAAAACAACTTGCCGAGCTGCAAGAGCTGAAGATTGTTCTCTTAGATGGGCTACGGGTCGCAGGAGTCCTTGCTCATGATGGTAGCACAGAACAAATCCAGTCAGTCTGCAATGAGATCGAGCAGACCTGCCCTAAGATTATCGAGCTTGATCTCAGTCGAAATCTTTTGAATCGTTGGGGTGATGTTGCAAGTATATGTGACTCACTCAAGCGCCTGAGAACATTGAAGTTGAAGTAAGTGGCATTTAACATGTGTAATCCATTGTGACTAACGCAATTAATAGTGGAAACCGGATGGGCCCTGTGGAGGAAGGCTTGAAATTCGAGAGGATTGCAGAGCTTCAGTTGGATGACACGCTTCTCTCTTGCGATGAGGTATATTGAAGTTACCTGGATCTGAGTTTGCATCGACTAACTAGTCATTCACAGATATCAGCTTTGACATATCAATTTTCGTCCCTAGCTACTTTAACCGCCTCCACTAACCAGATTTCAACTATCTCATCAACCCTTTCGAGCACAATCACGACATTATCCTTGGAGGATAATGAGATCTCTTCTCTATCTTCCCTCAGAGAGCTTACGTCCATGAATAGTCTGAACCGTCTTTCACTACGCGGAAATCAAGTTGATAAGATTTATGAATCCAATTCAGATGAAGCATGCCCGCTACGGTTTTCAAACAACCTTCAGTCGGTCGATCTGTCCAGGAATAGAATTGACAATTGGCTTTTCATCAACCATATATCACTTGTATTTCCTGGACTCCAAACTCTCCGCATATCTGGGAATCCTCTCTACGACCAACCGGTGGGCCCATCAACGATCACTGGGTTGCCAGAGAAAACAATGACAGTAGACGAGGCATATATGCTAACTCTTTCTCGAATATCCTCGTTAAAAATGCTCAACTACGGCACAATAACAGAAAAGGATCGCAGCAATGGAGAGCTCTATTACCTCTCGCTCATCGGCAAGGAGTTATCTGCTTTCCCGGAAAGCGCGGAGCGGGAGATCCTCGCAAAGCACCCTAGATATAGTGAACTTTGTGGAATATATGGTGAGCCTATGATTAAGAGAGCTACAGCGTCGACAGGGTCAGGTGCTGCTGTGAATCCACGGTCTGTTGCTGCACGCTTGTTGAGGTTAGTATTCAGCTTACGCCGAGATTTACCGATGACTGGCACCTCAGACACGAATCAAGACGATGCATCAAGGGAGGAAATCAAGGTGAAGGAGATACCCCGATCGTTTGATACTTACCAAGTTAAGGCCATTGTTTCGCGTCTGTTTGGCCTGGCGCCTTATGAGTTCAGGCTGATTTGGGAGACGGACGAGTTGGACCCCGTCAGTAAACAGAATATAGATGATGAGGACGGATGGGATAGTGGAGATGAGGGTGCCAAGCCCTCGCAACCGAGCGATAACTCCGCGTTCGTTAAAAGAGAGGTTGAGCTTGTGGATAGTACGAAAGATATTGGATTCTTGTTCCAGTCTGATCTTACTGAGGCGAAGATCAGAGTCGAGTTAGCAACACAGTCCTGACATGAACGTGGCATTATGTAATTAGAGCCTTTACATGGATAAGTTACGATGAATACCTTGGTGATATCAGATATACTATATTTATGTTGGTACTAGTATTTGCATTTTTAATAAAATCCAAAAAGGTGAATATATACTTCAATGTGACGGTGACCAAGCCCGTGATTACTATATCGGGATTAGCTCCGATCGCGCTCAGGAAGCATCATTTATCGCCGAGTCGCAATAAAAGTGATATCATTTAGCTATCGAATAACTCATATTCCACGAAAATCTTCCACACGCTGGACGAAGAACAATCCTTTAAAAATGGCAGAGCATTGGAAGTCAGCCGTAAGCTTTGATCACTTTCCAATTTTATTCGCATCATTGTCTAAGCTTTTTCGCAAGACACCCAACCCAAGCAGCTAACATAATTACAGCCCAGATACTGGTGCAAACAATGCAAGATATTCATCCGAGACACAGCATTCGAGAAAACCCAACATGAAGCAACGGGCAAGCACCAAGGAAACCTGAAGCGATTCCTCCGGGACATCCACAGAGACAACGAGCGCCAACAGCGGGAAACCCAGAGGGCCAAGAATGAGGTTGAACGACTACGAGGAATTGTCTCCGGTAATGCAGCTGGAAACGGCGGCAATGCAGCTTCCTGGAAACCAGCCGCGCCAGTTCCTCAAGCGCCACCGCGGTCAGTCTCCCTGGACGAGAGGAAAAAGCAGATGGCGCAATTGGCGGAGATGGGTGTTGCGATTCCGGACGAGTATCGTGGCGATATGGCCCTGGCTGGGGAGTGGCAGACGGTTTCCCAGAAAGTAATTGGCGCAGATGGAGAGAAGACGGGTCCTTCGCTTGGGGTTCGCAAGCGCAAGCATGAGGGGGACGAGGAAGAAGAGGAGGCTAAACGGGAGGCGGAAAGGTTTGTTAGCAAGGGTTGGGGGTCGAGGACTAAGGAGTATCCCGGTGCGCAGGACGATGCGGATTTGGATGCCCTTCTGGAGTCTACGAAGGATGTCAAGAAAGCGAAACCTTCGGCTTCTGAGGCGACTCCGAAGGAGAATGACCAGGAGGTTGCTGACGTCCCAGCTAAGGGCGAGGGTGACTCTGCAGCTGCAGATTCCGAGCAGACGCCGCAAACTGAAAAGGAACCGTCTGAAGCGCCCCCTGCGCCTGTGGTTAAGGATGAACCAGAAGAAGCAAGTGCGGGCGTCGTTTTCAAAAAGCGCAAGCCAAAGGTTATGAGAAAATAGAACAACACTGGATATGCTCTATAATTCGTCTACGTTGCGCTGCTTTATGTACCAGATGAGTGGTCCATGCGCATACTTGCGTTCACTTGCTGGTCCGCAACCAGTGCGTATCCTGAACATACACCAAGGGGCCAAGTCTGACATCCTCTCAGTTATAGCTAAGTGAGAACCCACTGAGAAAAGAGATGATATACCAGAAACGACTACAGAGCGATAAGGCCCTATTTATGCATTATGAATAGCTTGTCTACGGGAAGAATACCGAGTCAATTATAGTGTTAGATCGCCGTCATTCTTCCCGGACCGTGGATGGATAGATCTTGGTCAACAAGATGGATCATGAGCGCGAGTTATTCGGAAGAGGGCCCGGGCTGTGCTTTCTACATACTCAGCCATGGAGTATATCACAGCACCGAGATTTACTCGAGTGAACATCGAGGTTTCTCTTTCATGTTTTTATATTCCAAAAGGGATTATGCCAAGGAGAATTAGACATGGTGTGAAAATTGAGTGTGATTCAAGGGACACGCTTTGAACTGATCAATCTCCGATGGTGGCTACCAGTTAATTCTCCCAGATTGGCAAGGGAACCTCGTATTGGGGAGTATTGCAGAGAGTCGGACTGGGAGGATAGAATATTGTTGAATTAGTTTGATGAGATAGTACAATCCGAATGGATTCACCGTATATTTCAGATTGAATGGAAACCAATAAATCGTGGTGTTGTTGTCAGAAAGATACATTGATATAAAAAAGAGAAACGTGGTGGTGATGTTGTTGTTGTATTGCCACAGTCTTTCTTGGGTGGTCAATTTTTTTTTCCCCCTTCCGTTGCAACTTTGGCAGCGTTGTCAAAAATCCGGGGAGGAGAGACTTTCTTTCCCTTAAGCTAAGTCTCACTTTTGTCGCGCAACGACCTTATCGCAACTTTCCTCGTCACAACCCACTCCAAATGCGGAGACTGTCTGGTCCCGATTTCATAGTTCTGGTGGAATAGTATTTCGGCTCGCTTCTTTTCGCTTATTTGGACCAGTACATGGTAAGTAAACGAGAAAGCTTCGTTTCATCGCTTGTCCCCGGTCACTCGCATCCGAGACACGTCTCTTTCCCCTCTATCAGCCCGAAAACCTCAGCCATTTCACTCGCTGCATTCCTGGAGATCTAGCCCTTCACTCTCTGTTTCAGTGTCGCATATGGAGACTGCACCTGGTGATGCGCGGTGGTTGTTTCTTGCTGTCAGCACCGCGGAAGATTTCATCCAGTCGCGTACCATACCCAAAGGCCATGGGTGACTATAATGTTACTGGCTCTGGCTGAGTGTGAATCTTTGGGAAGAGTGACTATACATCGCTACAATTCTCATTGAATAGCATGATGCATACGGGCCTGCCATACGCAGACAGTCCTCGCAGTATTACACAATACATTTCCAGCCAGTGCTATGCGCAACCCGGCAGAAACCATGTCTCTTCGGTCCAGCTTTGGAATACCACCGTTCCTATCCCTGAGACAGATGTCTCTGGGCTTAGCTACATATTATTGGCGGATGGATTACACTCAGCTTGCGTTGAAATGGGTTGGCTAACAGTGCCTTTAAAACCGCAGCTAGAGCGCCGCACTTGTTGACGGGCACACGGCATTTTAGTCTACGGCTAAGGTTATCGACCATCGAGGATATTTTCGTTTTTGCCTTACGGTGAGGGCTCGCGCCTGCAAAATTTAATCGATTCCGCCCGACGTCAATCAATACCTGGGATTCTTTTCGCGCGACAGCACACTTTTCTTAAAGAGATCATACCACAAGGAAAATGGCGGAGACGGCAGATCCTGCAAGCACACCTGGCGAGCTGCCAAAACAGGCCGCCGAACCAACCGATGCGCTGGCTGCACCGACGAGCACCTCTGCCGAAGATTCTACGTTTTCAGCCGTGGATGTTTCTCTGCCCCCTATAGATAAATCTCTACCAGCAATGGACACCCCTGTGACAAGTGTAGACACAACGCTCCCACCACTGGACCCATCAATACCGTCTCTGCCGCCAATTGACACATCCTTACCTCCGATAGACACTACCTTGCCAGCTACAGACGGGGGTTTGGGAACAGATACGCATTTCTCGTTCGACGATCCAGACCCAAAACACGATGACGGAGGACTCGGCGGGCCGGAGCCTACTACGCATGTTTCGGCAACACCTGGTAGTAATATTGGCGAACAACCGGGACCTTCGCCTGCCCCCGACTCTTCATGGCAGCTGCCGTCCAATGGTACACATTCGCAACACCTACCTCCACTACAGAACCAATCAGTGCAACCGCAATCACAGTCGCAGTATCAGCAGCCACAGCAACAGCAACAGCAACATGCGCCGTCACAGCAGTATCAACCCCAGCAGCAGGGTCAAATGCAGTCGCAACCCCAGTCGCAACAATACCAGCAGCAGAGCTCCGACATGTATCACAACCATCAAGCTAGTTCTGCACCGATGAACGCACCCTCGATGCAGACAATGGACCATCACTCTACCCAGGGACAGACGTCGCATGTGCCACAAGCCCCCATCGGATCGCCCATGCCCCCAATGGCCTCGGTAGGCCAGTACATGACGGGTTATCCAACAACGTTGGGCAAATGGGAATGAATTCGAGTGCGCAAATGCGGTACCAACTACCAGGAGACCCGAACAAGATGCTCTCTGGCGGCCGACATAAGAAGGAAGTCAAGCGCAGAACCAAGACAGGTTGTTTAACATGTCGAAAACGGAGAATCAAGGTACGTGATGTGAAAGAGCAGATCAAGAAGCTGTTAATCCATTTATTGTGGACGGGGAGGTTTGAGCAACAGGTTGGGTGGGCGTCGGGGAAGGAAATGTGTTGTGGTCGCTTCGCTTGTGTCGCAAGCTCTGCCTTCGGCTCGCCTGCAAGAAACCCCGCCATTCGCGGTGTCGCTTGTTGTTGCCCACTGTTTTCCTCCCGCCCGACAACCCAATTCTGTTGCCTTTATTATTGTTTTCTGTCTTTATTTTTATGCGTGGAAAATTATTCAATATTGCCCGGTGTCACTCCCTTTCCCACATTCACACTGACGGTGGGCAATACTTTAGTGCGACGAAGGCCATCCCGTCTGCCGAAACTGCGTCAAAAGTAAACGTGAATGTTTAGGTTACGATCCGGTGTTTAAACAACAACCGACTCCTTCTGCTATACAACCAGCTCCGAACCCACATCCGTCGCTGGTGGTCAACCCGCAAGATCCTTCTACCTCTCGTCGACCCCCACATACCCTTCTGCTCCTCCGGGTTACGTGCCTGCGGTCTCTCAGCCTTTTGCTCCGTCCGAGTCTCCCAGCACGTCCACCGAGAGATACGATTACGGCGCGCAGATCGATCCAACATTGGACGGAAACAACTCTTCGAACATGGCCAGTGTGCAGAATGCTGTAGAGGGTGGCTTGCAGCCGACTGTCAATCCGGCGAACACCACGACATCGTCGGACCCTACAAGCTTCAGAGGTGCGTTGTCGATCGGAGTGTTCTTGGCTTTACGCCCGTTCTTGTGCTTATCTCCTGTTTAGTGAAGCAAGTCCAAATCAGCGATCTTCTGGCGCTGAGAGGGATCCCTCCTCCCCCACCTCATCCTATTACTGCCATTCAGCCGAACCGTCTAGAAGAAATCAAGGCGGTGTTCCTTGCCACATATGCTCCTGCCATTGACAAATTCTTCGAGACGCGTTGGTTCCAGGAGAAGGCTTTGACTCACCTTTTGGCCAATGCCCAGCTCATGGCCGAGTATTCGGCGCTAATCGAGGCATTCAACGATCAGAACCTCAATGACCCGAATGTCATCGCACGACTAGAAAGCTTTGAAGCGTCCGTGGTCTGGAGCTCCATGACGTTATGCCGTCATGTTATGAATGTATCGAATGGAAGCCATGGCCAAGATTATGATTTATTAGCCGCTTCTAAACGACTGGACGTCATTGAGGCCATGATCACGGGCGAACATCTGGACTCGAATCCCTTGGCACAGTTTCCTCCCAGAGAAACGCCCACAAATCCCCCGGGTCTATCGGATCAGTTAGCGCAACGATCGCTGGATTTCTGGAGCGCAGTTGGCCACTTTCTTACTCTCCATGACAACGAGGCTAGTTCAGCCAAAGAGATTGACGATACACTGGGCCGTTGCCGCACGCTGTTGGATACGTTTGAAAACCGTGATGTGATCTATTCAATCGCTATTGCGCGTCATCTCGGACAGCGCTGGGCAGATTTCCCGCGCAGCTTCCCCCAACCCATCACAACGAACGAGAAGGATGCTGGAGCTAAGCTCTACGTTGCACAGAAGTTCCTCGAACAAGAAGCAGGTGGGAAAGGCACCACGCAAGTTATCAAACGTATTTGCGGTATGGTGGTCCGTTCCTGGTTCGTATCACGGGAGTAAAAAGTTATCGGGCTTTGTCCGACTTGCATTTGATGACTCTGGCGTGGATTTTGTACTATGGGAGAAAGAGCCCTCGCACACTGCCGGCGAAGTTTTTTTTGGGGCTTTTTTTTAATGATGTTTAACTAGACCTGTTCTTTCCTTTCGACCATATCCCTCACTTTCAGTGACTATATTTTTTTTCTCTATCATCATCTTGGTTTTCCTGGTATGGAGGACGTCATGACTCAGGAGTTGATTGCTATTCTTAGTCCTGTCCGCAATCAGGGCAGGACAGCACCATGGCGTTCAGGGTGCATAAGTTCTTACGAAATACAATGATGAGAGATTTGTTGTACAGTTTTCTCAAATCTAGCTTCTTGAAAAACCATATCCAACTCAAAGTTCCGTTGGAGGATGTCTCGCGACAATGTCATTCATGTAATCGTCCCGCATTGAAAGCCGCCCTATGTATATGTATATACCGACGCAACCAGACGTCCCGACCCTCTATAATAAAGTCCATGTACAAGTCCAATCGAAAGTCAAAAAGGATGCAACGTAACATTTCGCATTCTTAAGCAAATCTATAGATCAGCCTGTTCGGGAACAGGACTCTTTAGCTTCCCAGCTTCAATTGCCAAGCGCACATTTTCCATGGCCCATTCTTCCATGGCGGTTTGAGTCTATCACATCGCCACAAGTTAGTCTCGGTCAATGTTAGAAGGATAGGGCTGGTGAACATACCTCAACAGTCCAGGTGCCCATATGGGGGACCAGCATCACATTGGGGTTCCGGACGAGACCAGGATGAATCTTGGGCTCTTCCTCGAAGACGTCCAGACCAGCAGAGTAGACTTTGCCGCTGTCCAGGGCGTCCACGAGGGCTGCTTCGTCGATAACGGCACCACGAGCAGTGTTCACGATGACGACGCCATTTTTCATCTTGTCGAATTCGGGCTTGCCGATGATGTGGCGAGTGTTTTTCTGTGAGAGACGCATCTACGTTAGCCCATCTGGCCATATGAGATATCCACTGTAGTAGTGCATGGCTACTTGGACGGAAAACCCACATTCAAGGGCAAGTTCAAACTGATCACATCACTCGTCGCCAGCAGCTCGTCAAACGTCACATAGTCAGCCCCACCGGCCAGCTCCTCGGTCAACTGCCGCCGGTTATGGTAGATGACTCTCATGCCAAACGCCTCGGCCTTCTTCTTCAGGTTTCGGCCAATACCGCCCATTCCCAGAATGCCCAGTACTTTGCCCTCGGGATCATGGCCCAGGGCAGGGAGCGGTTGTCCGCGCCACTTGCCCTCGCGCAGGGCAAGCATGCCCGTGTTGAAGTTGCGGAGAGCCCCGATAATGAGGAACATGTTTACGTCGGCAGTGGCATCGTCAACGGCTGTTGGGACATTTGAGACGCGGATGGGGGGCGTGCGAGCGCTGCAGGCGTGGACGTCGACTTGATCGTATCCGGCGCCTGTATAGTCCCATTAGGTTGTGCTCAACATAAGTAATAGCATGAGATGGGAAATGGCGTAACATACCACAGTGGGCCAGGTACTTCAACGAGCTCGGAAGGGCATTCACCAATTCCTCGTCTACCAAGCCGGTGATGCTCACTGAGTCGAAGGTGCGGTATGCGGCGACGACGCCGTCGAGCTTGCCGTCTTTACATTCTTGGATGAACTCTGCACGGTTGGTTGCGGTTGGTTTGACTAATTCTGCAATATCACTCAGGGATTGCCATGTGGTATGCGCGCTGGATCATACTGTTAGATTGGCACATACAAAGACCGTTTGTATAGTATAAAGTGGGGGTTAACCGTACTGGATGATCGCTCCTAGGAGCAGAACCTTGGGTTTGGTATCGGACGAAGCCATATTTGCTACTTCTGTAAGTACAACACTTGTTAGCAAGTCGTTGGACAGACAAATGGTATATTAAAAGGAAAGGAATGAGTCAGGAGTCCACCACGCACTTGAATTAACCCGAGAGGAGATACGGCGCGGGGAAGTTGATATAATGTTCGGCCGAGTGTGTGTCGCGCCTCAATTGCTGTTGCCACAACAATCGCAAAGGGGTAATTCAGGTCGGTATGAGACCACGGACGTGCACTTTGCCTGGGACCAAAAGAACAGAAGGATAGAAGAAGAACAAGAAGCGAAGGAGGGGAAGAACGACAAGGAATTCCTCCGTCGCAACGACGAACTTCCCCCACGTGCCCCACTTCTTATCATTTCAATGTCCCTTTTGGTTGAATTTATTCTCTAACTCAAGTCGCGATGAAATGATGCCATCTAGGGCTCGGGATTACCCCGTATTTTCGCCCTTGTCTTTCTCGGCCGTAACAGGGGAGTTGCTATTGCGATTGAAGAGGCGGTCATGTCGGAGATATCCGCGATGACAATGGTTCTATACATGGGAATCTCCGACTGAGTACCCGCGGGTAAAGTGGACTATCAACAAGCCCCCGGACTTATTCAAGGTTCGGAAAACCGCCGATACGAGGCGAAAGACGGATGGATCAGCAGCCATAAGTATTGATATTTGCATTGGTCCAAATTTTCCAAGGTGGTTCTACAAAAGCATCCTGGTGTACAAACGGTTACCAGCTCATACAGATGAAGGCGCAACATGGTGGAATTACAACAGTCGCTATGGTCAATAACGGTGTGCATGATTAATCCGCTTCGGGAGAAGAGAGATATATAACAAGAGGCTCCTAAAATCCTTTATATTACGGTCAAATGAACATGGAGAGTAGGAACTTAGGTTTGCCCCTCAAAAAGCACCCTCGTCCAGTCGAATCGCCTCCACCGTTTCTTAAACCCATCAACTCGTCGATCACCTCCACGGTTCCAGCGGCCCTGCCGCTTGATCACATCTGGAGCTAAATCCAACATTCCCCCGATGACTTCGCGTGCGAAGAGGTCGCCTCGGGGCCAGCGGTTGTCGTCCTCGACTACATGCCCTAAACCTCCGTCCAGTTCGAACCAGACATGGAAGTATGGCATCTCTTTCACCAGCGTACGGCGGAAGGCAGATCGGCCCAATCCTTGCTTAGATTTAGCCAGCGTGTCGATTAACTTTTTGTGTTGAGACCATTCTGACTCTGCCGCGAGAATAGCCTCTTTGAAGAAGGCAGGAGAAGTCTCCCCCAGCTCATATGGCAAGGGCACCACTTCCATTGTCGCGTGCCTCTTTCGATGAGGCTGGGCCGCATTCTCATAGAAGATAACGTCGCGGCCTTGGTCGTGATACATGCGGGTCAAGCTCTTCATGAAGTTGCGGATTTCCTCCCATTCATCATCATCGCATTCTAGAAGATTCGTCCGGTGTTGAATGGGGACAATGGTAGCACACCCTTGATTGAGTTCCGGCTCGGTGGGAAGAGTAAGATAAACCCTGGTCGCCAGAGATACCACAGGGGCAATAGGCGGAGTATTCGTGTCCTCATGATGGCAAAGAGGGCAATTATCCAAGATTCGGTTCAGCTTTTGGAATTCACTGATAGTCGTGTTCTTAAGGTTGATTTCAGACTGATGCACCCGTCGTGCTAGTTTGGAGGCGTTGTCATCCATGTACTCCAAATCATTCTGGTCAAGTTAGTCAGTCTCTCGGATGCGGCTATAGATTCCAATTGCGGAGCTCACCTCGAATTTGGCATCTTTTGCTATTCTCTCCGCAAGCCGTTTCCCTTCTCCTCCTAACTGATCTCGGGTTCTTCGCTCCTCGCGAAGCATATCTTCAATGCTCATATCCTCGTTCTCTTCTACTTGGCCCCTCTCCCGGCCTCGTTTAGTATCCACAGCTTTGACTTCATTTCTCTTGCCAGCAAGCATCCGGTTCTGCTGGACTCCCAACACCACAACACCAGGGTCCTTCCGGCTCGCCATGGCTGCCGCGGCGGCATTATATTGCTCTTCAAGCTCGCCAGCATCAGGAGAGCCTTTCAGTTTTGCTTTCATCATCTGCGCCTTAAGGCGGTTGAGCGCGGTTAAGTCAAGAGGTTGCGTAGTGTTCTGTGGCGGTTCTGTATCAATCGGTTTGCCCTGGCCGTGAGCTTCTAGTTCCTGTTCAGGGTTCCGGACATGCTCGTGTGTATCTCGGTGGACGCCCTCCTGTAGCTTTCTCTCTTGGAAAAGTTCACCCGATGGCTTTTCTTTGCCTACATAGCCCTCGCCGTACCGCTCGCGACGATCTAATTCTGCCTCTTCCTCGCGTGCATCATCAAAGGAACGTAGATCTCCGAAGCGCTCGATAGCAATTTCCTCCACTGATTTTCCACTTTCCTCCGCTTCCCTGTAAACGGCATTCAGTTTAGTCATTCTCCATTGTGAGCCAGAGTCGCCGAAAGTGTAGTCAACATCATGTTGCGCCTGCTCTTCCTGGATTTCCTCTAATGCCTTTCCGTCCTTAAGATCGTGCAAATGTTGATTCAGTTCCCTGCCATGAATCTTGAGCTCAAAGTCTGCTTGTAGCATCTTGGGCTTTGGCTCCTCCTCTAATCGCGTCGTATCACGCCGATGCACGTAGTCAATGTCCAGCGCCGATGGAGCTTCCATCCATGCATCTCTCTTTAAGCGAGTCGGTTCCTCCTGGACTTCCTCCTTCGGGGCCGACGCTTCGTCGTCTCGGCTTTCATGTCGATGTCGGCGCTTATGGGCATGGTCGCGATCGTCTCCGTGGTCGGTAGAATGGCGTGATCGTTTATGCCGATGTCTGTCCTCATCCCTGTGTCGCGAATCCCTGTGCCGATCGGATTCACGCTCTCTGGATCTGGACGAATGGCGGCGATGGTGATGATGGCGGTGGTGTCTAGAGCGATCCCGACTGCGGTCTCGGTCGCGATGCCGATGTCGTTCTTTGTCGCTCTTCTCGCGCCGTCTCTCCTGATCCTCCGCCAATGACTTTTCAAAATCCTCCAGAGCCATGTTTCCTGGTGTTAGGAGTGACCCGTGCGGTGTGATACAGGTGGTGCAGTGAAAGTTCGAAAGGCGAAACTGCCGAAACAAAAGACTAAAGCGGAAAAGGCGCTAATGACGTCTGGCCGGCCTTTTTGGACTCCACCCGAGCAGATCCTCAAGAAGTATTCCCCGCGCGTTTGGAAGAAATTATTCGAATTTTTCTTTCCTTTTTTTATTTCCTCGACCATCACACAGCTCTCATTCTCCCGTGTCTCATGCGGTGATACATACTAGAGAGTTTTTACTACTCGAGCAATATTACACACGGGAAAGAGCAGCACTGAGAGAAATTTTACTTGACGCTATTCATCATGGCGCAATCACCCGTGGCCGTTGTCTGCGTGGGCATGGCAGGTAACAAAGATAGATGGTTTCTTGATCGATGCTACGGTGACACTAACTGGTTTTATCTTTCACATTAAGGCTCTGGAAAGACGACTTTCATGCAGCGAATTAACTCGTACCTCCACTCGCAGAAGAAGATTCCTTACGTTCTGAATCTGGACCCCGCCGTGTACTCCGTACCGTTTGAGAGTAACATCGATATCCGTGATTCCATCAATTACAAAGAGGTCATGAAACAGTACAACTTGGGCCCCAACGGTGGTATTCTGACGTCGTTGAACCTCTTTGCTACGAAGGTGGATCAGATTATCGCGCTGTTGGAGAAGCGTACCGCTCCGAACCCAAGTAACCCGTCTGCGAAGCCTATCGAGCATATCCTGGTCGACACCCCCGGACAGATCGAAGTCTTTGTATGGAGTGCATCGGGTAGTATCCTGCTTGAGACCCTGGCTTCCTCGTTTCCCACCGTGATTGCATATGTGATTGATACCCCACGGGCAAGCTCCACGAGTACTTTCATGAGTAATATGCTTTACGCTTGCAGTATTCTCTACAAGACTAAACTACCAATGATTCTGGTGTTCAATAAAACCGACGTTCAGGATGCTGAATTTGCAAAGGAGTGGATGACCGACTTTGACGCCTTCCAGCAGGCTTTGCGGGAAGAAGAGGAGTCGGGAGCCTTCGGAACAGAGGGCGGTGCTGGAGGTTTCGGGTCAGGAAGTGGATACATGGGCTCGCTACTGAACAGCATGAGTCTGATGCTCGAAGAGTTTTACCGGCATTTGAACATCGTGGGCGTGAGCTCAATGACCGGAGACGGCATCGACGAGTTCTTCCAAGCGGTCGAAGAGAAACGTCAAGAGTTCGAGCGTGACTACAAACCGGAGCTGGAGCGTAAGAAGCAGGAGCGCGAAGAGACCCAAGCAGCCCACCGGGAACAGGAACTGGGCAAGTTGATGAAAGATATGAATGTCTCTGGGTCTAGTAAGGGCAAACGTGCCGAGAACGAGGCGGAAACCGTCAGTGAAGCGGAGGAGGAGGAAGAGGAACTCGCGGCTGCCAAAAAAGGGGAGACTACGAGGAGCCTGAGGAGGAGGATGATAGTGAGGATGAGTCGAGTGTTCCTCGGGCTGCCGATAATGATGGGCTCTCTCAGCGGTATCAGGATGCACTTGCCGATTCTAAGGGCGCGCCATCCGATCAGGATCTTAGCTTTGCTAGATACTTGCGAGCGAGCCAGATGAACCAATGATTTTGAGTCTCTTTTGTTTTACTCGTCTTGATCGATTTCCCCGGCTTTGGTCTATTGCACGGCGTTAACACAGTCCCTTTGACATCTCATACTTTTCCCAACATATGCATGAATAAATGAACTAGACACGAGATAAATGGATATACTAAAAGGCATCCTACATAAAGAAGAAAACAGCTAAAGAAAAAAAATAGTCATGTGTATAGAGGGCAAGCTCCCAAGCTCCCAGTGCAAACAAGACAAAAATAGAACTTATGATGTCAGAGCTCAAGCTCCGCCGGTTGATTGTTGCCTGTTCTTTTTTTCCTTGTCACATCAGTTGGCACAAGCTGTAACAGTTCTTGTCAACTTTGTAAATTGCGACCGATCCATAATTTTCCTTGATCGATCCAATTCCATCATGGATGTATGTTCGTTGATGGTCTGCCAGCCCCGCATTTGAACAAAGACCAGCTAACGATCGTCCCACGACAGGTATTCTATGCTTATACCTACTCCACAGCGGGATGGCTCTCACTGCAGAGCATATCCTTGATCACCGTCCCGCAGATCATGACAACCTTGCTGTTGGACGAGACCAGATCGGCTTCTGGTAAGCGTTATACTATCCCAGGTTACTCAAGACAGCGTGTAATTGGCTCCATGGCTTGAAAGAACTCACCCTGACCCGTCTATAGAAATGGAGATATACTTCGCACGGTGCCTGGGGTTTAGTTTGCTCACCATTGCAGTCCTAACGGTGATGCTGACGGATCGATCCCTTTGAACTCCACGGTGTCGGAGCCAGTGACCACAGAAGACAGCGATCCCAAGGGACCATATGCCGTCCCCACATTGATCGTAACAGGGCTTTTCCAGGGATTTTCTGCCTTCTACGCGTATACCCGGTACTTGTCCTCGGGTCACACTGCCTTTGCTATAGGGATGATCGGGTACTCAATGACGGCCGCCATTGGGCTCTGGTGTGTACTCTTTGCCAGCAGTAATGGGAAGATTAGTCGGAAGACGGGAGCAGACAAGAGAACGGCAGGATTTCCATTCAAAAACACGGAGGCAGCTAAGAAACATGCGTGGAAGAAAAGCTCATGAAGGACGGGCGCCTTTAGAGGGCAGATGTCTGGATGATTCGGCTATGTCGGATACTACGGGCGATCGAGCAATTTGGATCCATAATGGGCACATTTACACCATGGATGAGTCCCGTCAAGATCTATATGCGTCACAAGGGTAAAAGCCAAAAGAAAGAGGGCCAAGACCGGCGCTTATCGGGTGGCTGAACAATCGCTGTTAGTGTGTACACAGGGTGCATAAATTAATTTAGAGCGAATGACGTTATCGAAGGCATGTTATTACTTGATTTGCTGCGGTGCTCCGACCGAACTAGTATCAGATGAAGATGAAGGGGTTCTTGATCAGTTCTCGTCCCGAGGCATGGCATTGCTCCTCTCCAATCCGAGACAAAAGTCGAATGCCCAGAATGACGCCTGGGAGCGAGAGATTAAAAAGAGATTAAGGGTGAATGATTGCCAACGGAAGCCCGATGGAAGAAGATATGCCAAGAATTTAGCTGCCTGGATGCTAGTGCCCTTTAGCCTCAGGCCACCGCTGAATCCCTGCCAATCACGAGGCAGGGCTGACCACCTCCAGCCCTGACACAAGACTGGCCCTCTCTCTATCCTGCAGGTCCTCCTGCTTACTTCCCCTCTTTTCCTTCCCTAAAATGTGCCGGGGATGCCGTGAGCAGGCTAGGAAAGCTACGAAGGCTTAATGTCTAATTCCCCTGGCAAGTCAGGTCGCCGGACCCATCGAATGCAACATCACCAACATTAATTAACCTGCAGCTCCGTCAGCCCACTGGTAGGAACTAGAGATGCCAAGGACTTGCTTGGCTGGTTTATGCATGAAGATAGATGGGCACTAGTGCGTGCGGCACACCACAAACTTCACCTGCAGAGTGCTGCACCTGAAAGACACTGCCAATGATCATTTGACTCGCCAGGTCAACGGGTTGGGCCTTGGAGCCCTTCGCTAATGCCGATGCCGCCTCTTTGACTACCACCTTTCTTGGCTTCCCCTCTTAGCCCCTGCCGTCCCTTGATGCCAAGCGCCTTGGTCGCTCGGACTCCCGGCGGTAGGCTTGCCACCTACCCATGGCTTGCGGAGACGGGCCACTCATGTAGTGCCTAATGAGATACTCTGATGCCGACGGGTAGGCCGGCTGCTTGCTGGTGTCATTGGCCGCTCGAATGACTCGGAGTATTGTCGTCTTGCAGGACTTTTGTGTAACGACTGCTGGCGTGGCATATGCTTTGACTGCGAGCCTGGATTTTCTGCGGCAGGAAAACACCCCCCCCAAACAGGGCGAATGTGTGCGTGCCGAAGTTCTGATACTATCAGAAGACCTTCAAGAGCACATGCCTGTTCGCATAACCCTGGTGTAGCCCCGGCGATTGCTTAGCTTAGCTTCTTGGGCGCGGGGCCAGAAAGTGCTTATCGCAAAGATCCCACTTCTTTGTGTGATAGCCCCTCTCGCGGCGCTTGACCAAGCCGTTCTCACTCGCCAATACCCAAAAGCGCGATATTATAGGTGGACATGGCTATTATTCTTTTTCTTTTACTTTGCTCTTCATGCAACCCCATAAGTTGCCGGATTTGGCTTCACCTTGGGGCTCATGCTTCGAAGTTTAGATGCAGACAAGACCTGATCCCCCAATCAGAACCCTTGATGCCTGATAGAAGACGAAGGGAAATGCGGATATCGCGTGAGGATGCCAAGCCAAGGGAATGGGTCACGTTGATCTCTGTCGCATTGTTGGGATGATCTTCACTCCTCAAGGTATCGCCCGCGCCATTAGGCCCTCCCTGTCTTTGATATCGTTTACTCTCCTCATTATGGCGAGCTCCTCTCAGAATTAATTGCCTGCGGGGTATACCACCTTCCCTTTGAAGGCACCAAGCCCCTACCCTGAGCGTCGGTTACTCCTTTGAGGAAAGTGTCCTATGCTGGTCTCTGCCAAACCCTGCAGCCTCGACAACTTGCCATAGCCTTGTCTTCTTCACCGTCTATCGGAGCACCGGTTCTTGACTGAAGCGGGTCAGCGTCCGTGGTGGTCATCACCAATCCCATCCTTCATCATGTCCGCTGATTGATAGAGTAATCTCCGGTGGAGCACAACGCAGTCCTCTGAGAGATGCAATGTTACCCTGTGAGTTTCAACCACGGCCTGTAGTACAGAGCATCCTTGTCATTGCATGCTGTACAAGTGATCTAAACTCGTAGAAACGGTTTCGAGAACGGGGAAATATAGTGCTCCTGAAGATTATAAATACCACCTGCATCCCACTCCCATCCTCGTTTTTATCATCAAGCCAGCGGTTTCTATCCTCCGACTTGAGTTGTTCTCGCGCATCTTTGCAAGCTTTTCATCATGCACTCCATCAAGCGTACCTTGCTCCTTCTCGGAGCTATCCTTCCCGCGGTCCTCGGTGCCCCTGTGCAGGAGACCCGCCGCGCTTCTGAAAAGCTTCCCGGAAAGTACATTGTCACCTTCAAGTCTGGCATCGACGACGCGAAGATTCAGGAGCATACCACTTGGGCTACCAACATTCACCAGCGTAGTCTGGAGCGTCGTGGTGCCACCGGCGGTGATGGCCCTATCGGCATTGAGCGCAACTACAAGATCAACAAGTTCGCCGCCTATGCAGGCTCTTTCGACGATGCTACCATCGAGGAGATCCGCAAGAACGAAGATGTTTGTGATCATCCGCTCACCATTGTGAATGACGGCTAACTCGTGCCCAGGTTGCCTACGTCGAGGAGGACCAGATCTACTACCTCGATGGTCTGACCACCCAGAAGAATGCCCCCTGGGGTCTGGGAAGCATTTCCCACAAGGGCGAGCAAAGCACCGACTACATCTATGACACCAGTGCCGGCGAGGGCACCTTCGCCTACGTGGTGGATAGCGGTGTCAATGTCGACCACCAGGAGTTCGAGGGCCGCGCCAGCAAGGCCTACAACGCTGCCGGCGGCGAGCATGAGGACACCATTGGCCACGGTACCCACGTTTCCGGCACCATTGCTGGCAAGACTTATGGTATTTCCAAGAAGGCCAGCGTCCTTTCGGTCAAGGTTTTCCAGGGTGAATCGAGCAGCACTTCCATCATTCTTGACGGCTTCAACTGGGCTGCCAACGACATTGTCAGCAAGAAGCGTACTAGCAAGGCTGCAATCAACATGAGCTTGGGTGAGTTTACAGTGCTCTTCACTACTAGCACTCATACTCGGGATGTGCGAACGCTAACTTCAAAAACACAGGCGGTGGCTACTCAAAGGCCTTCAACGATGCGGTCGAGAACGCATTCCAGCAGGGTGTTCTCTCCATTGTCGCTGCCGGTAACGAGAACGTATGTCTCCCCTTCCTTGAGCAAAGACGAAACTGTAACTGACTTAATTCTCTTAGTCTGATGCCGGCCAAACCAGCCCTGCCTCTGCCCCTAATGCCATCACTGTTGCCGCTATCAGCAAGAGCAACGCCCGCGCCAGCTTCTCCAACTTCGGCAAGGTCGTTGATATCTTCGCTCCCGGCCAGGATATCCTTTCCGCCTGGATTGGCTCCTCTTCTGCCACCAACACCATCTCTGGTACCTCCATGGCCACTCCCCACATTGTCGGCCTGTCCCTCTACCTCGCTGCTCTTGAGAACCTCAACGGCCCTGCTGCCGTGACCAAGCGCCTCAAGGAATTGGCCACCAAGGACGTCGTCACGGATCCCAAGGGCAGCGTCAACCTGCTTGCCTACAACGGTAACGCTTAAGTACCAGGCGTACATTAGAGTGCTTCCCCATTGTTTCTGGAATACAGTGGTGATTAGAAAACGACGAGCGTTTTGATTCGGACGGATATATGCATGGCACGCATACAGCGTGATACATAGGCTGTTTGCTCAAGAATTAGGATTTTATCTGAATCCATGTACAGAGTTTTACTTATGTTAGTAGTCAATTAAAACTTGGCTTTCTAATTTGTCCGATCTACAAGGGGTAACCAGTCGCCGAACGAGCCGGATGTGCAGGGCATGAAGATCACCCGCGCTTAGCAAGATCTCTAGTATATGTCAATCGTAGATTGAACGCGAATCATGACCTTATTTCTAGACTGCAACCCAAATCACATGACAAGCTCCTGCTCGGGGCGGAATCGGTAGTTGATGAGATCCCGGGGAATGAACTAGGGCTGGCATCACAATTCCTGCGAGAAACCCACCGATGTTGCTGTATGTAAGACAGCAAATTTACTGGTACACAACTCAAGTGCAGATTTAGATTTACTTTAATATACGTATTTACAACAATATTCTAAGATCGAATAAAGCCCGGGGATATAGTATTCCTGGGTTCAACCCCGGCAACACAGACATAAAACGGTTCCACGTCGTGGTGATATATAGTTGAAACTCCCACCTTTCCTCGAGTCAGACCTGCCAAACGAAGTAGCCTCAATTCCTTCCGCCACTGCCAATAAGTTCCTATTCATAATAAAGTTCATTACAGTAGAAGTCATCAGACCTCTTTTGGGAACTACTAACTTGCACATAAAAAACTCTGCGGAGAGCCGGGTGATTGGATCGGGGAAACGTGAACGGCCACAAAGCGAAGGTAGCCGGGGAATGGGACCTCCGGATTTTGTGATTGTTTTTTTTCTTTGAAAAGTCTATGGTGAGATTTATGTATACGGTAGCTATTAAATGGTGTGATTTTATCCTTCTATCTCGCCACTGCTTGTATTGATTTCGGTGGTCTTATATCAATGATGCCAGTGGGATTAAATATGTTACCGGAGGTACAGCAACTGATTGAAAACCACCGGCTGATTCTCGTGGCCAAAAAGCCTAGACCTATGCTACATTATCTTAGGTAACAGCACACGATGCTAGTAGTTTATTTGGGAAACCTACATAGCTTTTCTCGGTTTCGACTCGGAAGGGGGAGGGGTGGACCTAGGTTATACATCGACAGGACAAGGCAAGTTCGGATCATTTCACGTAATATAATTCGTCCTACTTCCTATTGGAGGCGCATTCTCCACG